TTCTAAGCCATGAACTGAGCTAACCTTGAAGATACAATGTGGTGTACAGATTAGCTATTTTTGACAATTCCTGCCCAAATTACAGATTCCTACCCACCATCCTGCCCCATTCTCAGCAGCCAAGTGCATCAATCGTGAATTTGAACACAGTTCCACACAGGGAATGCCCAACCCTTCATTAAGGTTGTTAGAAAAGCACATCAAAGACACGGTGAGGTTTTGCTTGTTTATGTAATAAGACAGACACCAATGTTTAGCTGCTGAATGTGAAGCCTGTGTGATAGTGGGAAGTGAAGGGAGAAGGAAGCAATTTGGGAAATACCTCCTCCTCACGTCACAAACATCCTCAGACCCATCAGAAGACCCCCAAACCAGATCCTGCAATATATGCATTTCATAAAGCAAAACCACCCCTTAGCTGCAGGCCATGTGTGACCTGGTTTCTCTTTTTAATTTTTTTAACTAGGGCAGCAAGCTAACAGTGTAGTATATCACGGTCAATATGTCAACCGCAAAGTGGGTCCAATATTACAGAAGGATTCCATAGTCGTTAAGTAAATTTCCCTTGTAACTTGAGAGAACGTTGGGTGAATCCCTGGGATCTAGAGCGCCTGCTGTCAGATCCCCACACCGCAGGTTCTGGATTCTTGAGATTTTAGAGTCAATTTTAAGTACAATGGCAAAGGGAGTTTCTTTCTAGGGGTGGAGGACAAGTTTAAGGAGCAGAGTAGGAAGGGCGAGCACCACTTTTTACGAGCCGTCATTTTAATTTGAACAGTTGTCAAACGCCTAGTAATTTTGAAATGGAGAACATACAAATCCCACTGCTTGGTTGGGCTTAAGCATTCCTGAAAATAATTTCTGTTAATTTGTGAACGTGCAGTTGAAGGCACATCTTTGTTTGACATGTCATTATTCCCATACTTGTTAATATATCAACCCCAAGTGCTAAGGGTTCAGGATTGCCCTCCCCTGCCCACCCCATGGCTGACAGGACAGCTCCCAGATAGATATGAAAAGTGATGACTTCATTTCTATTTTTCTCTTTGTGGTCCAACTCACCCATAAGAGGCCAATGCTCAGCTACCCTAAGCCTCTCAAACATTTAGGGCCTGGAGTTACTCTTTTTAGTTGATTGAGCAAAGATGATAATTTTTAAGTCCCTGGCTGGCTGAGATACATTCCAGTAGTAATGGCATTTATCTTATGACTGAGTCATGGATGGTAAAACCTCTTCTTTGGTAGATAACAGGGGAGATAAAAAGGTAATTTCCAGAAGGTGACGGAGGCTGGTTTTCTAGCCTTTTTTCTGGCTCAGTCTACTTTTCATGTCTTATTTAGAAATGGTTGTGAAGTAGGAATTTGGGGGGCAAAACAAACGAAAGATGTGAAGATTAGGGGAGTTAGGGAGGGAATGGCCCAAAGTGATGACAATTCCCAAGGAGAGTTCAAGTCCCCAGGGCTGTGAGAGCAGAAATCTGCCAGGACCAGCAGTGGAGGCCTCAGCGAGTGCCTGTGGAATCTGCAACAGTGCATTCATTTTGCATGATTCATAGCAAACCAGCTAAGAGAATTCACCGAACCCTTAGGACAGATGGTTTCTGGGTAGCAGGATGTTTCCTGTCTTGTTTCTTCAAGAACAAACTGTGTCTTTGAAAACACTAACATCATCACATAGGATTCTAATTGAGTCTTGTTGTCTTTGGGAAGGAGAATGTTTACTTGAAGCCGTGTTTCAAACTTTCATTGTGACCCATACTGTTGTGTCCCAATTTAATTCATCTTGACCAGCATAATTTAGTGGAATGTAATAGAAAAATCTGAGTGCATCTCATATATGTAGCTTTGTGACATTTTTTGTTTCAGTTGTATGTATGTACAAGAGTATGTATGTGCTGGGTTGTGATGGAAAAAGTCATTCTTAGTGTGGATCAAGCTCTAAAAGGGAGAAAAATACTGCTTTAGGCAACTTTAAAAAGAAACAGAGGGATTGATTATGGTGTGTAATTAGCAGAGTGGGCAAACACTGCTCATCTTTTGTTGTTGTTAATCCTCACCTGAGGATATTTTTTCCCTTGATTTTTAGAGAGAGTGGAAGGGAGGGGGAGAGACAGAGAGAGAAACATCAATGTCAGAGAGACACATCAATTGGTTGCCTCCCACACGCACCCTAACCAGGGCAGGGGATCAAGCCTGTAACCGAGGTATATGCCTTTGACTGGAATCGAACCTAGGAGTCCTTCAGTCCGTGAACCAACGCTCTTACCCACTTAGCCAAGCCGGCTAGGGCTGCTCACCTTTCTTTTATTGGTTCACATGCATGTGTGCATATGGGTGCGTGTGCACATGTGTAAGTGTGAGTGTGTATGTGCCTGTATATACATGTGAGTGAGTGTGCATGTGTGTGATCTGATTCTGCCATGGTGTTTAGGCAACTGAACTTTCTCCTAAGAATAAGGAGTTATATGATTCAGAAGTTTAAGGAGACGTTGCTTAGTATGATAATTTCAGAAAATCTGCTGGGGGAATCGATGGTCTCACATCAAGGCTCTTGAGATGCAAGAGATGCGCCTCTGACCTTGACTTAAAATTGTAAATACGTCCTTGCATTTTTTTCAGGTCACAGTACCTTTGCCTAAGCATAAGCTGGTCAACTCTACGATAGGTAGGAGCATAATTTTGCATGATTTATACTATGAAGCTAAAGTGTCAAATGACTTACTTATGGTGCTTGGCTCTTCAGGGGGCAAATTTCCTGAGTATATTTCTCTAGTGGGTCCCTAGGGAAGCACCAATATTGCCTTAGGTTTCCAAACAAAATGAAAAATGTTGCTGCCTTACCTTTTCCTATCAGCCTTAGGAAAGAGCAGCCACACCGCAGGGACGCCAGGGAAGTCCTTCCACAGGGAATTGAGACACCGTGATGCAGAGAAACTCAGAGACATTATTACGTACTAGAACGTTTATTAATATTTATAAGGTGCAAAAAAAAAGAGAGACAGTGATGTAAAATGACAGGCATCTTCATCAGAGGTCTGCTTTGCAGCCCAGGAGCATGGTTGGTCTCGGCATCGTGTTCTACAAGGCTGAGGTCTTGGGCTCTATTGCCTCCGATGCAGAGCAAGTACCTGGTCTTCAGTAATACAAGATGCTTTGATCAGTGTTTGTAAGTGCACACTGTTGGCCAGAGGAGGCTTGGCTATCATCCCTTCCAAGGAAACAGATCACCACCACCTCTACCTCCACCAGCACATTGAAAACAACCCAAAGCACACACACTCCTGATGCTTTGTACAGAATGGCAGGCAACTCATAAGAGTTGGCCTGAAGGTGAACCCATACAAGAGGCACGTGACAGGCAGTGGCCACAAGACTGACTCCAGGAAGAGAGAGAGCAGCAGGGATGCTCCATGTTTAAGGAACGAGAGCATGTTCAGACGGAGTGAAGAACCTCTAACCACTCGCTTCCTACCACATCTGACAGGCTCTTTGCCTGACATGGTTCTACAGGTGCAAATGTTAGGTTTACCTTGCCATGTCCTCTGACACTTTGATAGGGGCTTATCTCATGCTGGGGGTTGCTAATTCTTCCCAAACCTGGGTTTCTGGGACTGTTTATTCAGCAGGAACCTACAAAAGTCTGTTTTTACTTGATGGATGAAATGAATCCACAGCATCTTTCATCATACATCTAATGCCCTGGAGAGAATACAGCAGCAAACCAGGCAGACAAGGTTCTTTGAGGCCTCAGTACTCTGTACAGTGGCACTTAATAAGTATTCATTGAACGAATACACGAGTGATGACTGGCCTGTGGGGGTCGAGGTCACAGTAGTGTCTCTTCTACAATGCGTTGGGTCTCTGGAACGACAGACATCTGCCTCACCTGTTAGCAACAGTATTTACATTTTCTTGGCCAACGTTATACTTGAATTTGATTCACATTCTAAAAATTATGGACCATTATAAATATCTTGGATTTCCTCTTTGGGCACCTTTTTCTGGCCAAATCTTTATAGTAAATAGATGTTAAGCCACACTGTACTATCCCCAACTTGCCTGCAAAGATTTACTAATATGAAATGGAATCGTCTTATCCAAGTTACAAAAACAAACAAAAAAAAGTTATGCGATGGTTTTGCTGTACAAACAAATGCAGGATGGTATTATTCACCATTGTTTTAACCCGGTTCAGTTCTCAATTCCACTATTGCTTCGAACCTTCACAAATTGTCATTTTCCTTCCATTCTCCATATGACGGAATTGTTTTTCAATTAATAATCACTTCCACTCCTTATAAAACATGAGGTAACACTCTCATCGGTTTTCATTCACAATTGTCACATCATTGCATAAGAAATCCCCATTTTCAAAGAAAAATGTCTAACAGCACAGTGGGAAATAAAGGAAAATCTCATTTTACAGGTAAATGGAGTATAAGTGGCGGATAATTGAGTAGCTTATACATCGTATCCTATTATTGTCATTCTCAGTGGCTGGATGCTAATCAGTTTAACTGCCTTTGCGCTATATATTTTTAAATGTGATTAAAACATACAGTCTCATAGTAAATTTAAATGGCTTATTAGAGGCATTTACAGGGCAACGGTATCATATGTCAAAGATGAATGGTGTTTCTAATTTGCTAGCCACTTGGGTCAGGTTTACGTTAAGCAGGAAGCATATTTATACAAGTAATCGTAACACAAATGGTCTCTTGGGAAAAGCTGTTGGTGAGGGTTTAACATTTTTGAAGTATGCTTTTGTTTATCTTCTAAATGGGCATTTTATAGGCAATGGGCCAAAGCGCCTTAAATACATGCTCCTTCACACAGGCATAACTGGGCCGATGTGCCTGAATGCTACAGTGTTGTTAAGCATGAGGAGAGGGGGTGGGGGTGGGAAGGTTGAGCCACCTTCATTTGACTGACATCCTTTCAGGACCACAACTGAACGAATGCTGGGAGTTCGCAGCAGCATCGATACAGGGGGAGCTTGTTAGAAATGCCAAAACCGCACCCCAGTCCCATTGAACCAGAATCTACATTCAAACAAGCTCCCCATACGGTGCGTGAGCACTGCCCTGGGACCCCAAAGCCTCTGCCTGCGGGTGGCCAAGTACACGTCCCTTTCTCTTTCTTTCTCGCTTCTAGAATCATCCTCGTCAGAGGACAACCACCCCTCGGCCCGGTTTCCCTTTCTTTCTCATCACTCCCACACCCACACCCAGGACCCAAATGAATTTACCAGCATCTGATGCCCTTGAATCAAGAACCCACTTCTCATGCTGGCCACCTGACATCACCCAGCAGCTCCCTGTTGCCTGATAACCTTTGGAAAGTCAGGGCATCGTAAGGACTTCCAAGGCGCCGCGTTCATCTGCTTTCCCGTGCCTGAGCCTCCCATCCTCCATCGATTCCGCACTGACATCCCTTCCTTCTCAGCCGCCACCAGCATGCAGTCTCCCCTTGCCAGTGTAACCCCTTCTGTTCTCGTGAAAGGACTTCTTCATCCCTATTTCTACTCAGGGAACGCAGCCTCCCTCTAACCTAGCCATAAGCTTCTCTCTAATAATCGTGGGGGATCGAAAAGACAAAAGGTGTCCTGCCCGCTGTTTGGGGGAACTTTACTCGGTGGAGGGAACCGGACGCAGTTACTGAAAGACCCACTCGGCAGCCCCCTGAACACACTTCTTTTGGCCCCACCTTTGCCTTGAGAGGCTCAGCCTGCAGCAGGTGCCCAGAGGCAACTGGACCTCCAAACCAGACCCAGGCTGGCCAGCCGATTGGCCCCTAGAAGCAATTTGGTCCCCTCTGTTCCAAACTGTGTCGGGGTAAAGGGCTCTGCAAGAAAACGAACTGGGCATTTTAGAAGCGCGTTGCTTACAAAGTCAGGCTCTGTGGGCCCGGGGTTAGCGCAGCCAATGGTCAAGGGAACAATCTGGGGTCAGCCGATGAGGACCCCTTCAGGCTCCTCTGGAGTGGTCAGCACCCAGAACAGACCTCTTTAATCGGAGGAGACTGGCAGGGGGAGAAACAAGATTGCTTTCTGGCCATAATGCGTCCGAGGACCACGCTTGCAGCTTCCGTTCTTCTTGAGCCCAACGAACCAATTCTTTTCTGCGTGCTTCTTGGACGTGTAGGTGTTGTAGTGGTTCTCCTCCAGCCTTTCCAGGAACAAACATTCCTCATTGGGTGTTTGCTACAAAGATACAACCGAAAGAGAGGAGGGCTGTGAGTGAGTGGTTTTAGGCAGGGCTCCTCGGCTTCAAGCTGTGTGACCTGGGCAAATTACCCAAGCTCTCTGTGCCTCAGTTTCTTCTTCAGTAACATTGGGATAATGATGGAGCCTATCTCCGGGGATGGTAATGAGGACTTAAAACAGGACCCAGCACATAATGAGCCTCAATGTACACCTGCTATTATTGTAAGGTCCCTTACATTTGTTGTTCTCAGGACCCTATAGTCTGCCCCTGGGGAGATCCTGAATGATTGTAGGCACCCAAGGGGGGAGGGGGCTGGGCTTCTGTCTCTGTAGAGGCCTGGCACCTAGATAGGCATGGCCATGAAAAACGTCCAAAACAGGTGAAAGCAGATGGTGATGCAGTGAGGGCTGTTAAGTTTGGACTTAACGAATAAATGAAAAACTACTAATATAATTTTTCATCCTGGTGATTTTCATTAACAATAGCAGGATAGTACCTTAGCATTGTTAAGACCATCAGTGCTTGCACAAAATGTGCCCTAAGCCCAAAACATATCCTGAAACTTAACGCTTTTTTAAAAAAATGAAAATAGCTTTATCTTCTAATATTTATAAAAAGAACTATAATTTTTAAAACTTAAAATTTTACTTAAGGGGAGGGTTGGGGGGGAAGAGATCAACCAATGAACTCATATGTGTATATGCATAACCCATGGACACAGACAATGGGGTGGTGAAGGCCTGGCGTGGGGGCTGGGGACAGGATGGGAGAGGTCAATGAGGGGGGGAAGGGGGACATATGTAATACTTTCAACAATGAAGACTTAAAAAATGTGTTTTTTTACTTAAAGAAAGAAGAAAAAAACCACCCAAAGCCCACCCACCCAGATATAGACAACGGTTAACAGGTGATAAGCATCCTTCCTTGCATCGTTATAGTACGTACGCACAGAGAGTAGATAAGACCGGATGGATATAGACTTAGGATGCTATCAAAATGGCACACTATGTCTGCTGTTTCAAAAACTGGCAATGAGCCTATGAAAACATTCAATCTCACTAGCAAGAAAATGCAAATTTAAAAAATGATTTAACATGTTGGCAATGACATCTGCAAGGAGAAAAAAGACACGTCTGGGTGTCGGTGAGAGTGTAGGAAACATGCACTCTCCTGCGTTGGTGGAGACTTCCCGAGGGTAGTTTGGCAATGTGTATCAAAGGTTTCAATATGCACGACCTTTAGGAGCAATTTCACTCCCAGGAACAGTTAGGAGAGAGTTAGAAAGTGTAAAACTATATTTTCAAGGTGTTCATTGGATATAATGGTAACAAATTGGAAGCAACCTAAATATGCATATAAAGGTGATTGGTTAAGTAGGTAGTGGCACATACATACAGTGGAATCCAATTCAGTTGTGAATTTATTAAGGTGGAAAAGAGTTCCAACATATTCAATAGGGCAGTTATTATCCATAATTATTTTTTCACTTGGAATGCATCTGTTAGAGAATGGGAGGAACCCCAGTTATTTGAACTTCCTATTTGTCAGGATTGTAGAAAACATTTATTATATTTGGACAGAAACCAGTTAGGTGAGCTAAAACCCTTCTGCTGTATATTGACTTGGCTCTAATTCCGAGTCGCATGGTCTCTATTTTCTCCTCACCCACAGTGGTTGGGGAGCCCCTTTCTGTTGCGCAGTGTTCTCTGTTTGTGGGCACATTTGCCTATTAGACTGCAAGCCCCCCTGAGGGAAGAGATGGGACCTTGTCAGCCCTCTGTCTACAGCCAGACTTAGAACCTGGCAAGTAATAGGTGCTCGCAAGTAACAGGTGCTCGCCAACGAGGTGATGCGTTGAATTGGACTCCTGAGATCAGGCAGAGGCCTCGGGAAAGTTATCTCTGATTAGCAAGGTTCTCCGTAGCAGGGAGCACGCAGCTGCTTATTCATCTGCAGTGACAACGGGGAGAGACACTGGAGCATTTTAGAACAAGGTGGGACATAGACGTAATAGTTAATCGGATGACTCTGATGCCTCGAAAGGAACTTACCCAGACATTGGTGTTTGATGCACATTGTCAGGAGTGGGAGGAGGTTGGCAGTCTGGGACCTGTGTGGGTTGCCCACTCCCCCGTAGGGAGGGCTCACCCCATGACACCCCTCAGTGGGCATCAGGCTCCTGTTCTGTGACAAAGTAGAGGATGGCCACACCCCCCACCTGATGTCTCTCTTCCACCACAGCAGTAGACACAGAACGGCTGAGTCAGAGGCTGAGTCAGCAGGCCAAATCGGAGGTGCTGCCTCTGGCCTCCCAGCAGGATTTGTCAGCGCTCGTTATGCATCTGGAGCAATGCCGAGGGCCTGCGGAGTGACAGCTGATTCATGGCCATTGTTTTCATTATTTTCTTTTTTATATTTAGCACGCTTTTCTCCCAGTTACATAGGTGACATATACCCACTGGAGAAAATTTGGAAAACACAGGAAGGCATTCACATATTATAAAGTTAGCCTTTTACCACCTCCAGAGATAAGTGAAGGAATGTTTTGGGATATAGCCTTTTGAAGTTATTTTTTATAATAAATATGTCCTTTCCACACGCACATAAATTTGGATCAGGATGGACTGATGCCAAAAATTGGTTAAGAGTACGAGGCAGAGCTCTGAGATATGTTAGAACTTGTCCTTATCAATGGGAAATATAAAAATGTTGATGCCTCATATATGAAGATCACCGTCTGAATATTTTAGGTAAATTACAGTGACGGCCAGGATGATGGGGAGTGTGGGGGGGTGTTTGGAGCCTAGAGAAAATCAGATTTGAGGAGTCTCCCCCAATATTTTTATATGAGTAACAGAAAATTATAAACATCAAAACTGATTTAAAGGAGGAAAAAGCCATAAAACTAACATATAACCTATGAAATAATAAGGGCAAGGGATGTATAAACTGAATGTTTCATAGCCACATTGATGGAGCGTCTCCCGTGAGCCAGTCACGCTGGTGGGCGGGTCTGTTCATTGTCTCCCTGCGGCCTCTCAGCCCTATATGCGGGAAGGTACTGTCCATTACTGTCCTCATCTTAGACAAGGCTCAAAAGGGGAGTAACTTGCCAAAGTGGCAGAGGCGTGAGATTCAATTATGAGCCTGCAAGTGAATGACTGATTGGCCAATTGATTTTATTACCAATTGGAAGAACTACCTTAAAAAACACACCACCTACTCCCTATGTAGCTGCCACTGCCTGGCTCCAAACCCTTTAAAGCTGTCCCACTTGATCTGTATTTCAGTAAACAGCTTAGTAGAGGCTACCTGTAACTGATGATACCATCTCCTGACCCCTAGGGGAGCATGAAAAAGCTGAACTGCGTTCACATCCCAAATTCTGGCTGACGATGGCTTCAAGAGAGGGTTTCCTGTGCCCACTGCCTCTTGACAATTCAATATAAGTTAAAGGGAGCCCCAGACTAACCCCCCCCCCCGCCCCGACTCCTGGCTGCCGTCCTGTAGACATGCATCTTAATAAAAAGGAAGAAAGGAGTTTGGCTTGGGCTATGAGTGACAGCCAAGCCTTAATTATCAGTTGTTAGGATACAGAGAAAGGGTCACTGAAATCCAGAAATAATTTCAAGACCTGGGGCCATTGGCTTCAGCTCTCTTTCTCATCAAATCTTTTTTTAAAAATATATTTTATTGATTTTTTACAGAGAGGAAGGGAAGGGGATAGATAGTTAGAAACATCAATGAGAGAGAAACATCAACCAGCTGCCTCCTGCACACCTCCTATTGGGGATGTGCCCGCAACCAAGGTACATGCCCGTGACCGGAATCAAACCTGGGCTCTATCCACTGAGCCAAACCGGTTAGGGCTCTCATCAAATCTTTTACCAGAGATACCAGTAAGGGAAAAATCAGATTTCCTCTGTTTCTGTTCTTTTCTCACAAAGACCACCATTAACAGAGTCAAACCTATATAAAGCACTAACCAGAAGAGGGATGGAGAAGGCGATGCAGAGGATGTTAGCTACTGAATAAATTCTTCGTGCCTCTCGAGGGCAGGGATGTGGTTCATTCACCTTCACATCCCTGCCGGTACCTAACTGTACGTAGACACAGGAGGCATTTGATAAATGTTTGTACAATTGGGCTATTAAATGTTTTATTTAGGAGACCCTTTCAAAGTGTTGTGTGTGACATGTTCACTACGAGGATCTGGGCTCTGCAGTTCTTATAAAAAGCACAGGGGACACGCCTATAACATGTAGTGGGGACTCAAGAAAGATTTTTGGAATGCATGAGTGAAGTGGAACTAGGTATTCTGAGATGAGTGATGGATGACTTACCAAAATTTCAATCAATGTCTCCTCTATGTGATAATACGTTTGAGTATTTTGAGAGAATACCGCAAGAAACTCTTTTATGTTTGTGCCTAAAATAAGGCAGGGTAGAGGGCGGGAATCCTACTGGAAAAAAAATAACAAACAGAGACTAATTGTTGCTTTATAGTGTGTATCACTCAACATAACAAGATTTCTGGAAACCTCAAACCTTGGCCGAGTCTGGAAGCTTGTCAGCCTCATACTTACTGAGCCGTACAAAAGCCCGTCGGAGTCCATGGCCAAGTACTGGCCACTCTCGGTGCTCTTTATATACACCTCCCCCACGCTTTCCGCACTGAGCTGCAGCTGAACTGGAATAAAAATAACACAAGCAAAAGTAAATAAACACCAGGCCTTTGCCAACAGGGCCTGGCGGCCAGGACAGTTAGCCACGGAAAATTCTGCTCATTCATTTCAGAGCCTCAAGGATGAGCCTCAGATTAATCAAAACATAGAAATACAGTTCCTTTTTCTTTGCCCTCCAAAGAAAGCGGTCCACTGGGAATCATGTTCTTGAGAGAAGGAGAGATGAGGCAGGGGCGCCCACCCGTCCCCGTTTGTTACAAAATCACCTGGGGTGCACTTTTCACGGAGCCTCGCTCCTTGCTCTGTCTTTGTCACCTGGAGGGAGAGAGCCACGGGAGGAAGCCGCATTCACTTCCCTGGGCTCCTGGCCCCAGCGATGGGGGGTGCTGTAGAGTGGGCCACTGGGCAGCCTGAGTAAGTTCCACCTCAGTTGTCAGCCTGCTTTGGGGGTGTCTTTTTACAGCCTGGGCCTTCTAGGAATAGGAGCTTCTTGTGGACAGGTTGAGTCAACCCCCCATCCTCTGAGGCAACCCAGCTGGGTAGAGGCAGAGGGAAACCCTGGCTTCTCATTGGGAGAATGACCCACTTACCTGGAATTGCAGGGATACAAAACAGTGGTTCTTACCCAGGGGTGATTTTGGTAGTTAGGGGACATTTGGCCATGTGTGGAGACCTTTTTGGTTGTCCCACCTGGAGTGGGATGGTACTATTAGCATCCAGAAGGCAGAAGTTTAGCAGCATCCCACAATGCACAGGGAAGCCCTTCACAATAAGGAATTATTCAGCCCAAAAAGTCACTAGTGCCAAGGTTGAGAAACCTCAAGGTTGAGGGCAGGGATGTGAATTTCCCTGAGTTACTCTCTCCCCACTTACACCAACTGCCCACTGCTGGGTACCTAAATGGAGTCCAGTGTCATCTGATAATTATTCAATTGTCCATGGTGGCTGCGATGGTTCACACTTGGGAATCAGAATCAATTTTGAACTCTTCTGGACAATTCTTTGGTCATCAAAACCATCGCTATGACTAGGAGTGGAGTCTAGACCAGGGACCAGTGAGCACTCAGTGGTTGCACCAGAGGATGAGTTGGCCTCTCTGAGGCTCAGCTTTGTCAGAGGCTGAGGGGCAGGGAAAGCTGGAAAGAACACAGGGCTTTGGTTGGCCCATGTAGACCCCTCATGACTTTTTATTTTCCCTTTTTATTTAATTTCTTTGAATAAGAACTACATTCCCATGTTTCAAATCTGGAAACAATATAAGAGGAGACAGTGAGAAGTCTCCCCCACTCCGTCCTAGCCTCCCAATGGGGATACAGCAGTAAACAGGACAGATGAGACCCTTGTCCTTCCTCCCAGAACCTCCTCCTGGGGAGACAAAGACAACAAGGAAACCCCTCCAAGGTATATTTTAGGTGAATCCTTCTACTCAAATTTGGTGCATATATGAGCAAATACATGTTTTGCCTCCTGCTTTTTTCCTTTTTTTACACAAGTGGTAAGATACTAGATGCACAGTTCTGCAGGTTGGGTTTTTGTTTGGTTGGTTGGTTGGTTGATTTTTGGCTTAACAACTAATTGGAAATCTTTCCATTTCATTACTGAAGGATTTAACCTCACTCTTTTTTACCAGTTGGATTGTGTCCCATTATGTGGCTATACTATGATCATCAAACCACTTCCCTATTAATATGCCTGTATTTTCTCATTTCCCTGTTTTCACTTCAAGGGGAGACACACAGGTACATTACCCTACCGAAGATGCAATTTCCTTGTCCTTGCAAGTCCTTGCTACAGAGACTCAGGTAAATGTAGTTTATCTGATTCATAGGAAGAAAGGAAGCCACGGACCTTCTTTCCCTCAGGTCCTCCTAACTTCAGTTGCTCTGAGAGAACAGGCCAAAGGGTCTCCATTGTGACCTGGGCCCTCCCTATTCTAGCTTCAGATCACACCACTCGCTTCATCCATCAACTCCTTCAACACACCCAGCTCTTTGCCACTTCAGGATCTCTGCACGTGCTCTACCCTATGTCTGGCACCTTCTTCGCCCTGATACTCGTAAAGTTGGTCCTTCTCCTCTTCCAGGCCTCAGCCTAACCCCCTCTCCTCAGAGAGGCTTTCCCACCCAAATAGCCTATGACACTCTATGATACCC